ATAGTTCAGTTTTTTCACATACACTTTAAAAGCTGATATATATGTAAATAATACGTAGAATTTAATGAAACCTTAAAATGGGGTGATGGTTAAAAGAGTATATAGGCTAGGCACAGTGGCTCACACCTGTAAACCTGTCATACTCTGGGAGGCCAAGGCTGGTGGATTGCTTGAGCTCAGGAGTTCAAGACCAGACTGAGAACAGCGAGACCCTGTCTCTACTAAAAATAGAAAAAACTAGCTGGACGTTGTGACAGGGGCCTGTAGTCCCAGCTACTTGGGAGGCTGAGGCAGGAGAATCTCTTAAACCTAGAGAGTTTAAGATTGCTATAATTAGACTACCAGTTCTTAATTTTTTTTGTCATTCCATGAATAATAGATAAGTAAAAAACAAAAGTATTTTAGGCCAGGAGCACTGTGGCTCATCCCTATAATCCTAGCACTCTGAGAGGCTGAGGCAGATCACTTAAGGTCAGAATTCAAGACCACTGTGAGCAAAAGTAGGACCCCAGCTCTACAAAAAATAGAAAAATTAGCCAGGAGTGGTGGCACACACCTGTAGTTCCAACTACTCAGGAACCTGAGGCAGGAGGATCATTCAAGCCCAGGAGTTTGAGTTTGTAGTAAGCTATGACGACACCACTGTACTCTAGGTAGGGAAATGAAAGGAGACTTTGTCTTGGAGGAAAGGAAAGGAAGAAAACAAAAGTACTTTATATAGAATGAAGAGTAAAAGTTCTTCTTGACCACTATCCGGAAAATCCCCCTCTGTCCTAGAACTTATTTGGTTTTTTTGTTTGTTTGTTTTGGGTTTTTTTGCAGTTTTTGGCTGGGGCTGGGTTTGAACCCACCACCTCTGGCATTGGGGCTGGCGCCCCACTCCTTTGAACCACAGGCGCTGCCCAGAACTTCTTTGTTCATGGTTTGATATTGATGCTACTTGTTCATTAATTCTTCTCACAAATCTCAAAGAACCTGATTTCACAGGATGTACTCTGCGGAGTGCAGGATTGATAGTATTTAGTTTGGTTTATATTTATAACAAGAGTTTGCACATGTATGTTCACAGTGCACAGTAATATATACAAGGTCAGAAAATTAAGTTGGAGAACTCATCCTAGAAAAAGTGCTGGCTCGGCGCCTGTGGCTCCAGCGGCTAAGGTGCCAGCCACATACACCCAAGGTGGCGGGTTCGAATCCCCAGCCCGGGCCGCCAAACAACAATGATGGCTGCAACTAAAAAATGGCCGGGCATTGTGGCGGGTGCCT